GGGAGGCCTGGCCCGCGCCCCGCCGGCCCCCGAGGCTTTCCCGCCGCCGGCCAGGCCCCGCGTTCTCGTGGCTTGGGGCCCTCCAACCCCAAGGCTGGCACCTCCTGCCCTGTGGCACGAGGAGCGATTGGGGATCCGGGATTCAGACCTTGGGTTTTGGCTCAGCCTCAGTGGTTTCTGGGGGCATCTGAATCCGCAGATCTCCAGGGTTGGGCCTGTACCTAGGTTACCTGCCAGCACATGTGGAAGTATCTGATGTTGGCGGGGGGGTAAAGGATGCGCGCCAGTAGCGGCGCCGAACAGTGGTGTCTAGAACGATTGAGTCCTGCCTGCTCAATCCATCTGGTGGCTGGAACAGTTGAGTTCAGCTCAACTGATACGATTTGGCCAATTTGACCTGGAACAAGAAATATATTAATAATAATAATAATAATTCAGACCCAGTCCTGCTCTTCCTGCTTGCCAGGGTAGGGGGGCTCCAGAGGCATGCGTTAGAGTCTCCAGCCATAGAGGCGTTTAAGGCCCAGGTAGACAAAGCCTTGGCTGGGATGAGAAGAGTTGGGCAGGGTCGTGTTTTGAGCGGTGGGTTGGACCAGGTGACCTGAGGTCACTTTCAACCCACATTTTCTGTAACTGTGTGGGGAAGGAGAACAGGGACACCCACAGGAGCTGCCCATGCTCTCCAGCCAACCCCAGGCAGGTGCTCCACAGGCTTGAGGGCCTCTCGATCACCTGCCAGGCTTTCCCCACTCATAGGCGGTCTGGGGTATCTCCTGGCATCTCTAGAAGGAAAGTCAGGGCTCCTTGCTTACCCCTTCCCTGGAGATCCTAGGAGGGGAAAACAGGTTTACCTTGCTCCCCTACACTCATTCCTGGGATCTCCAGGGGAGATGTGGGTGAGTGGGAAAACAGACCCTGCTTATCCAAACCTGCCCACATCACCCCTTGTCCCACACCATCAACAGGCAGGACAAGGGGCAACAGACATTTTGCCCAATGAAGCAGATCAGCCATGCCATGACACACCAGGGAAGCACTAAAGCACAATATAGTGTAGGCAGGTACCGTGCCATGTGCATGGCACACAGGTAAATTTTGCGGGTACATTGCAATAGCGGCACACTATACCCAGGGAGTGCACCACTATGGCAACATGGCTGGCAATCACACGTAGACACATGATCGCTACGTCTGTGTAGCATTGCCATACAGAAATATGGCATGTCACAACGTCACCACAGGGCAACATGTAGATGCACTCTATAAGTACTATTATAAGCCTGATAGCATCTCTTTAGTCTGTTTTATAACTGCTTGAAACTTCCTTGTCCCCCCTCTATTTACATATCCACCTGTCATTCTTTAGCCTGAAATGCACTTACTCAGCCTACTAATTCAAGTCTATGATCTTTCCTGGCGATTGCAGAATGGCACAACATCTAAATTCCATTACCGTAGGCAAAAAAAAAGGTGATCCCATGCAAAATGCAGAATGTGCACTTTCACTATGTTTACACAAAATGTTTATGGAAAACAATTATTTGAAGTTAAATCTTGGATTGTGTCTGTATTCGGAAAATTAGCTGCAAGTATGGCAATTTATTCTTCTGCTTATTCTTTGACTGTGTACAGAACTCAGCCAACTTGCATGTACTTCCCTTTACTACCATAAGTACTTCCAAAGGAGAAAGTATGGGACAATGCTCAGAATCTTCTCTGAACATGACCTCTAAAACTAGAAGCAGGCAGGTGTGGCTTTATAACAGCCCTGGTGCAGAGCTGGGTTGCTTTGCTTCTCAATAGAGTTGATTAGCATGTGCTAGGGCTGCTTCTGGTTCTGGAGCCAGCATGTGCAGAGCTGGCTCTGGTGTATCTGCACAGCCTTGCAGACACAGTGTTAGGGATATGAAACTGAATCCCTCCTTTGCCAGAGTCTTCTGTGTCCTGAGGCCTCTTAGCCCCAGTTTTCCAACTCTACAATTTAAATAATATGATTTCCATACCTCACAGTAGTGCTGTGGAAATAAATACTATGAATATTTTAAGGTGCTCAAATACCTTGATAATAAGGGCCGCATAAATGCAATAGACACTTCAAAAGGGCCTGAGTTCTCTAACAAAAAATATATCCACTGCAAATCTCAACTGCGAGCTGTGTTCTCAACAAAATCAATGGGGAAATATTTTTTTTTAAATACAACCTTATCCGAGATAGAAACAATTGCCAGATCCTTGACAGAGTTTGCATGAGTAATATTGTGGGGGAAAGCCGTATTTTTGATTTGTAAACACAATTTTATACAGTACAAATTAAAGGTCTTGTTTACTTATTGGATTTACAGTTATTTGTGCCCATTCTTTATATCTGCAGTTATTTCCCCTTCAGTAAAGGCAGATTTAAAATTTTTACAAACCAGACCCTGAAGCAGAATAATGGACTGTGTCACACTATTATTTTACAGTAATTTTTCTGACTGATGCTGTTATTGCACATTAAGCTATGCTCGTCTGTACAATGGAAGTAAAAATATAGTAAAAATAAAAGGGAGGAGAGGCTATCAAATGACTGCAGTTTTTATTTTTATGCCCACATGTCTTTGAAAACATCTGAGGAGGTTTCTGTTACTCTTTCTTTCAGATTCGATCAAGCAATGGAAGAGGGAAGGCAAAATAGCTGTGTGGCTGCACATTCCTATCCTTCAAAGCAGTTTTATTGCCTCTGCTGTGTCACAGGGCTTTACTTTTCACCATGCAGAAGGAGACTCATCCACAATGACGCTGTGGCTAGGAGATGGGAACAGCAGGTTACCAGGGTATGCCACACATCAATTAGGAGTTGCAGGTTAGTTCTAGAAATAACTGTATTCATGAAATATGTTTGATAGTTTAGGATCAGATTCAGCAGTAAATCAGCTGGGTTTCTATACTAGGCAAACATGGGGAAATTATTTGTTTATCAGTTGGACATCCTGATAAAGCGAGGTCTTTCATTCGTGAGTATTCCTAGTCAACAAACTGGGTGTGTTAGGTTGGAATGAAAAAAGCAACTAGTAGTAGTTCTGTTTAAAAATTTTAAAAAATGATAAACACTTTGGAAGGGAGGAGAAAATACAGTCTTCCTGAAGGTTTAAAATCTCACCTTGCAGAAGTACTGTTTTTTAAAAGGAACTTCATGGCATTCGGTGCGCTAGGGCAAGAAATGTCCTCTGGGAGAGATCATCTTTTAGGGGGTCCATAACCGTATTTAAAAAATACAACAAATTGCATATTTTCAGAAAAAAGAAGAAATATGGGACTTTCTTATAGTGCCAGATATGTAAATGCAAATGCTAAGGGCCCTATGGACCCTAGTGTTATGTCCATGCAAACTGCGCAGGTTTGGATCTAGATGATAAGGGCAAAAGTAAATTTAAACCACCCAGTATTATCCAGGATTCATTTCAGCTGCCAGCTAAGAACAGTGCAAAGATTGCTTTAGCATTCTCATGGCTGCCTACAGCTGGAAGAGGCTATGCTGTCATCAAGGAATAGCTGAACTGCAGTCTCCCTGGCAACACCTTTACTCAGTAATGCTTCCTACGGTCACAGCTGATGTGGAGATTCTCCATATGTCCAGGGAATTCCCAGATAGTTGATTATTAGGACTGTGTGAAGCTTTGGTCCCTGATTCGGCTGAGATTTGGACCGAATCTCCAAATCCGAATCGAATCAGGAGACCCTTTAATCTCTCTGAATCAAATCAGCACCCTCCGAATCAACTCGGAGAGATTCAGTGATTCGGACATAGACACAGCTTTAAATGTTTTTTCTACATACCTCAAGGTAGCAGGCAGATCGTGAATGCTGAGCTGCTGGGGCAGATGGACCATCCCACAGGAACACAGGGGGCTCCCCAATGCACTCGGCAGCAGACCCAGAAGTGGACCAGAAGCACTTCCAGTCTACTTCTGGGTCCTCTGGGGAGTGTGGTGGGAGGTGCCCAGGGGTTGTGTTTTCAAGTCTTTCTTCATAACCATGGGAGCTAACATTTTTAAAGAAAACAAAGATCATATAATCATTTGACTCTGGGAACAAAAGTATTTTTAAAAAACCCACCACAAACAAACTAGCATATTTTACAAGGACTTATAATAAAAAAATTGTGAAAATTGGCGACACTAGAAACATACAGTAAATTTAGTCTTCACTGCTGTCTCCTTATGCCTTGATTTCACAAGTTTGTGATTAGGTACAGGAGAAGGGCTGACCTGCTTCAATCAAAGCTTGTTGCAAGCATGCTCCACCTGCTGGGTATTAGTAGATTCCTTTCCTTTTCTTCCCTACATCCAAACTTCATGATAAAATATCTGTCAAGGTAATAGGACTAGCTTCACTTCTAGCCCCTGTTGGTCTCCATGAGTGCGCCCTCTGCATCTCAGGCCTCATGCTTTTATGTTCCTGGTGTTGAAAGCTACAGGTTTCCTACTCTTAGGCCAGGTCCTGAGCTACAGTACCTTATGGTTTAAACTTGTATGACCTTGGTTCAGGTTTTCTATTTAGAAGCTTGTGACCAGTGACAAGTCCTACTTTCATGTCCATCTTATCTTTACAGATGCCAGCATAAGTTACAGTAGTGCAAAGGCTGCTTTAACATTCTTGTGGCTACTCACATTTGCCTTCTGGGGATATGAGCAGCCAGTCTAACTTCCTCCAGACCCCTTAGTGGCAGGGTTTACTTTAGCTGTCCCTAAAAATGTGTCTTTAAATTCAGTCCCAAATCCTATTGTTCTCCTACAACTTCCAAGCCTGGATATGCTGGCTTGGGTGGCTCATCCGGAGTCCATTGGTGAGCCGCATTAAAGTTAGTAGTCTTGGGTGCTGGCTGAGAGGCTATCTGAGCTCGTCTTCCCTTCCTCCCTGTTGGAGATAGAATTAACTCAACATATGCATGCAGTAAAAACCCTTAAATAGTAAAACCAATATAACTTATAGTATTCATAAATTACTACATGACAGAAGAACAAATTACCATATACCTAAAGTTCCTAAAGTGCAGGACCCCAAATTACCATATGGGGTTGGGCTTTGGGGTAAGTTAGCTCATTACCGTATGATTTAAAGACACCATAAACAGTTAAATGCAAATTCTGTTTAAGTACTCACTAGAGGTAAAAGACACTACACAATAATAGGTTCATTTGCCTATATTAAGAAAACAGTCTTTTAAAAACCTATTTTTTATCTAATATACATTGTGTATCAGTATTGCAAATTGAGTTGCTAGTTGCAGTAAAAAATCAGCAGAGGGCAGCCCAGATAAAATGCTTAAGATGAGTCTTGTTTTTTTTTCAATGGACATGTTCGAGCATGTTTTCCTGAGGTATGAAAACCTCATCTTTAAAATATGTGGCATTAAACTGGGGTCAGACAATGCATTCCCTTTGCAGAAGTACAATATTGCTCCTTATGGTTACAATTTACATATTTGAGAAAAATAATGCAATTGAAAGGGGATTTTTCTGAAGTAACATTCACATAACTCAAAGTGCAATTTAAAGGAAAATGTTTATATAAATAGGGATAAACTCTTAAATAGTGATATCGTATGACTTTTTGTCAGATGATTATTTTGGTTGTATTTTATATAAATAGGAATTGCCTGGAAGGGCAGAGGAGGTTAAATAATTTCAGAAATTTTGGCATATTCATTAAAAACTATATCGCATAATAAAAATAACCCAATAATATCTATTCTGTTTCCTGCTACTGCTTTTGAATCAGGTTGATACTTGTTTTATTAGTTAGTTGGATTTTTTTTGATTGAAAAGATCAGGTAAACATTTGATAATGTAAATCAACAGATTTATGTAGGTGAGGTAGTAACAGTACTATTCTGTTCTGCATAGGTTCCTATATTATGCTTACCCCCATAGCATCTCAGCACCTTCCTGTAGTTCACAAAGTACTGGAACTAACAGCTTGTAAGCAGGTTTCTTAGCCTGCCTTTGCAGGGGAATTCAGCTCATACAGCCCTCTACAGCAGTGGTCAGCAACCTTTTAAAACTGCAAGCCAGACTGACCCAATTCAGACCAAGAACAGGGAAGAGGGGACTAGGACCCAGCCACTGTTGCTGCCTTTCTTCACCAACAACACAAAGAAAGCCCATGTTGCTGCCACTTTTCTGTGCAGCAGCATAGGGAAAGCACCTGCCACCACTGCTTTTCCCTGTCCCCATCACTGCTGCTTTTCCCCAAGGAAGGCACCCACTGCCACTACATTTCCCTACACTGGCATGGGGGAAGTGATGGCTGCCAAAGCCCTGTGTCAAAAGGCTCTGCAAGGCAGATCTAGTCCACCAGCCATAGGTTGCTGACCCCTACTGTAAAGCTAAAGTTCAATCTTTTAAACAAACAAACAAACAAAACAAAATCCTGCTGCCCTGTCCCAGTCACTAGGAATGAAACCTCTTTTGTTTTGGCCCCTCCTCGCAGCTGTTCCTTTCATCTCTTACTTACACTTCTGGGAGCTTATACAGCTTTTAAAGACTTTCCCAAATGCACACCCAAATGCCCCACAGCTGGATTTCTTTAACAGGGCTGACTGTTCCCCCCTTAATGGGATAGATTGCTCTGTTACCCACTGTTACATGCATGTTGTCCCATGGACTGGAAGGAGCCCCTTGAGCTAGTGAGCCTAGTCCCCGTCTTCTGCCTGGAAGAGTATAAGGGAAGGAGCTGAATTTCTTTTTGTTATATATATCACCACACACATATATTGCTGTACTTTTCTTTCTTCTCTTTTTTTAAAGACAGCTAAGTCAGAGAACGTTCTCTTGACATTAATGCTTGTATAAAATAGCAATCTCATAGCTGTTTCCTTGGCAGGCTAAAGGTTTAAACTTTGCCTAAGAGTCATCGGGGGGAGGAGGGGTGTTAATGTTTTAAAGTTCTAAACATCAATTTCAAATCCCAAGAATTAAACTCTTAAAATCACAGGATCAGATACCAGGGCTGGATTCTGATCTCACTCATGCTGACATTACACCAGTGTAACAGCAGGCTTCAATAAACTTACTGTTGATTTATACTGAAAGAAACCAGTTTTTTATATATATTTCTCTATTTCTTCCTGCTGTTGATGCAACCAGATACAACCAGAACCTCTCACAGGTTTTAAGCACCTCACACAAAACTACATTGATAAAATGTATTTACAGACATCAGCTCATTGGGAAAAAACAGAACTTTTCTAGTTAATCCAGACAGTCTTTTGCCGGCTCCAACAGTCATGTAAAGAGAAGCTTTTCTAGAAAATAACTCCTATAATCAGTGTAAAATGTTGATTCCAAATGAGGGTTTTTTGGTCTCTCAAGTGTGATTCCATACTCACCAGTACCCAGCTAAACAGTCAGAGTAGGGGAGGTCATGCAAACCACTTGTCATGGGGAACCAGATACATGACTAATTCCCTAAAGCATGTCCTTTAATGGAGCTTGACTTCAGGGTTGCTGTTTCATCTTTTAAGTATTCCTCCTACACATCAAACTACCGTCACATTATTAAGCAGAAAAGGATGTTTTCAATCTAGACACTCATTCCTTAATAATTTCCTTATGTGGAAACATTTGTCCACGGTATTCTAGATGTGTGTATCATAGTTTTAGCCACATAGGTTTCCTTTTGCTAGAAACTAATAGGAAAGTTTCTCTATAATTATCCACCAAATTTTAACCCAGCACACCACTGATATGGAAGAAGACATGAGAAATTGTACCCACCCATGCTTAGCACAGAGCATAAATCTAAAATCTGTCAAAAAGTTGGCTGGATTATTAAAATGTATATTTTTGTAAGGAAGACATT